CACGGAGCCGACAGCCACATTTCAAACAAACTTTCGGGCCACGCGTCGAAAATCCTGGCATCAGCAGCGTCCGGGGGCGGAGGAGAGTGCAGTGGGTGGTGCGGGCCCGCCTGTGGAGTTTCAACAATTTGATGTTAGTGTTCCCCTCGCCCCCTTCCATACTTCTCATTTCGAAGGCTTTATGTAACTTACTTGGAGAGTCACGTCTCTTTCGGCTACGAGGGCGCCGTCTTCCCCTGCTACTACTCGCGGGTCAACCGGTCCGTGGTGCTCACGCACTACGCGCGCGACGACCAGGTGGCCGTCATCGTGCACTACTTTGCCATCCCGTTCGTGCTGACGGTGGTCACGGCCGTCATCCTGTGCGTCATGCACTGCGACTGCCGCTGCGAGGAGGACCCGAGTCAGCGCCGCCACCACCACCATCACCATCACCACCACATGGGACTGCGAACGGCGGACAACAGGTACGCAGAGCGTGGCAGGGCGTGGTGTGGCAGGGCGTTGTGTGGCAGGGCGTGGCGGGGCGTGGCGGACGAGCTAAGCAGGAAGGACCTGCCCGGCCCCGGCATGCACTTCCCTGCCCGGGGTGGGTGTGGTCCTAGTCGGTCCTAGCGTAGCATGTGGCTCCCACAGCGCGTTCCAAGGCACGCCCCCTGCCCATGCTGGATCTGTCACACCGATGTGGCAATAATCACGAGAATTCTTAAAAAGAAAAACCCTTCAAGATACACGCAAATTCTTACTGACATACATAATATCTTGGTTTTGCGCTCCTGCCCTTTCATTCAAAACGAAACAAGAGAAACAACGCATCCTCTATTACATCGCCAACAGAAAAAAAAATCGCGTAGTTCGTGAACCGTCGACCATACCCCGAGCAGAGAGGCGTTGGCTGTGAGGAGAAATGGGGAAGGGGAGGGGGCTGGGGCCGGCTGGGGCCCACAGCCACAGCCATTCCAGTAGTCAACCCCATTCATAAGTAAGTTGAAAACAAAAGAGGCCTGAGCGCGGCGCTGCGGCGCTGCCACGTCCAGCGGGCACAATAACAATTTAGGGCGAGTCGCCCACCACTTCGTACTCTGTACTTTTTCACAAAAAGGAGTACATGTCTGACGATGTTGTAAAAGTCAGCGCCGTTGTCTCTGTTTGTACAACACATCAGGTGCCTAGCATGACAGGGCACAGACAGCTGGTATTCGAATGTCGCCATTTCTTACATTTAGGGTAAGGTGCCCAGTGATGGATACTGTACCAGTGATGGCCACCACTTTTCTCGATTTGCAGCCAAACTCGTCACTTTACAATCTTGGCACGGAACGAATGTTCTAGTAAGACTCCTCCCGTGGTATGATAAGCGAAACTACCTCGCTCCGTTGTTTACATTCCGAAAAAGGGGTGTCCACCACTGGGCGGATCCATCTCTTAAGGCGTCCTGTCCATAATTGGGCATCTTACCCTGGCACAGAAGACTGCTCCCGACAACCATGTGCACTCGGTTATAATGTAGCAGGTACTGCATTCTTACACTGTTAGAAATATTTTGTGATTTCCCAAAAAATGCTCGTTTGGTACGGGCAACTGTGAAATCCTAATACTTCTTCGTTGTCAACAATCGAGCATTTTTCTATCTCAATTTGAGATTTGTCGAGATTGTCCTAATACTTTTGAAGTTGGCCAATTTAGGTCTCCTGCCGCCCATCAAGTCCACATTATTACTTTTCAGTGATTACTCTACGGGCAATGACGGTTTGCTGCATAGCACACACTTCGTTTTCTAGAAAACTTTAACAAATAATAGGAAGGGAGTCTGAAGGCATGCAGGGTGTACGCACGGTGTGCTGTGGGCCGTGGGTACACACCGGTACACGCGCGCGGGTACGTGTGAATGTGTCCCGGGTGGGCCCGCCGCTCGGACCGCCGGG